CCCTCCCTCCCTCCCTCCTTCTCTTCTCTCTCCATCCTTTCGTCATGTCTTACAACTCCCACAGCTAATAAACCTATGTGACCTCCTGAGATTTCTAATGATAAGATGAGCTTTTAAGCTCCCATCCAGGTCAAGATAATTCATAGACTGTGTGTATGTGTGTGTGTGTGTGTGTGTGTGTGTGTGTGTGTGCGCACGCGTGCGTGTGTGCACGCGCGCACACGTATGCCTTGGCTGTGGGGTGGGCGACAGAGCTGAGAGGTCTCTGGGGGGTGTTCTAGCCCCCTTGGGGGTCTGATGCCTTCCGCAGGAGGGGGTCACTGGGTTATTGACCCCGCGCTCCAGCTAGACCAGGAGCCTGTTTTGCCCACCTTCTGGAGTCGGGTATTCTGGGGACAGGAGCCTCCCCCAGGGGTTCGTGCTACATTCAGGTTCAGGGAGAAGATCAAAGTCCATAATTAAGTGTTCAGGGCAAGTTAAGTGCTCCAAACTCTGGTGCTAAAAATATTGTATCTAGCATATGCAAATTATGCCCTGACAGCTCCCCGGAGCCTGAGCCCGTGGGTGCCAGCACCTTGTTTGTTATCACCGCTGTTATTCTCGAGGTGGTAAGAATATTCCTCCTTCACTGGGTTGATTTACATTTCATTTTTAAAAAGCCAAATTTCTGTTGTTGGGTCAGTGCCGAGTCGTGGCCCCAGAGGGCTTGGAGCTGTGACTGGTCTGGAGGCCAAGAGGCAGGAGGACTCCAGGCCACATTACGCAGGGCCTCCCCGCCTGCCCCAGAGGAAAGGGGTCCTGATGCGAGACAGGGGAAGGGGCAGACACAGACGTGGGCGCAGCTGCACCTCGAAGGCCACCTTTCCCACAGAGCCTTCTCTGCCCTGGTGGACGAGCAGGGCTAAGGACCGGACCTGCAGAGGTGCCAGGACCTGGAGAGGGGGAGAAGGGAAGTGGGGATAGCCGGGCTTGCCTCTGGTGGGACCCCGCTGCTCTGGCGGTTAGGGGGCCCCTGGGGATGCCGTGGGATTCCTACTGGAAACGTTCTCCCCTTCCATCTTGGCTGGTGGTTGAAGATCAGGACCACCCACAGCAGCTCTGAGAGCGCTCAGGTCCCTCGGGAGGGGAGGGCTGGGCGCGGGGAGAAACACACAGGCACACATGTCTCCTCCTTGGCCCTCCTGCAGCAGCTCTTCTCTCCTTTCCCCCGAAGTCCTGTACCCTCTGATGGTGGCCGGGGCCCCCTTCTCTGGAGGGTCTGCAGAAAGCCTCTCCAACTCTGACCCCCAGCACAGACACGGAGCTTTGGCCACACCGGATGCAGAGACTGGAGGTGACACTGCACCCTCCGCTTGAGGGGCCCTGGATGTGACTCTTGTCAAAGTTTTATTAGTTTGGAGCATGTGTAGTGATGTTACAGAGTTTGGGGCCTGGGGGCTCCCCCAAGCTGCAGCTTCCCCTCCTCCCTCTGGCAGGGCCAGGGCAGGCCGAACGGTATTCAGCAGCCGCTTAGCCATGGGCTCCTCTAAGGCGGAGGCAGTGGAAAGAAAAGGGGGCAAGAGGACTGGAGAGCGGAGAGGCGAAAGGGAGAGAAAAGGACGTGGTTTGCGGCAGAGGGTGTCAGGAACAGTCTCCCATAGGACCTCAGACACCCCCAACCAAGCCCCAGACAGGTCACGTGCCCGCCTTCCCTGCCAGCTCTCCCAGGTTGGCCCGACATGTGCTACAGAGAGGCACCCACGTCCGTCGGGGCGCAGCAGAGTGGGCTTAGGATAGGGGTGGTCCTCTCCCCGCAGACCCTCCTGGGCTCTTGGAGTATGGAAACCTCACGGGGAGCTGGGTGGGGTCGGGACCCACTGCTGTGGGTGGGAGTAGCAGCTCCTGCCAGGCTCGGAGGGGGAGAAGGGGTGAAGTTTTGGGCTTGGGCTTCTCTGGGGTCCATTCAGACCTGGTATGTACATGGGTCTCCCTGGCCTGAAGTTGCCTGGGGCCTTGGCAAGAGCTCTGGCTTCCCTGGTGTAGGCCTTGGGGGGTGTGAACTGTCCATCGCTCCCCACTGCCCGCTCCAGCACAGGCCTGTGAAGACCAGGCCAGCAGGGCCTCTGAGCTTTGACACTGGCCCAGCAACCCCAGAGCCCCAGAGAAAGGTCAGAGAAGGCGGCTGTGTCTTTGGTGCCAAGGAGAGAGGGTCTGGAAGTGGGAGGGGGCTCCGTGAGCTGCCTCTGAGCCAGGGGTCCGGCCCGAGGGCTGGCACTGTGCCTGGCTCTCTAGCACTGCCCTGGCAGAGCGAGGGTGTGCGGTCAGTGAGGGCCGTGGAGCCAAGCTAACGCCACAGGGCCTGCGGACGAGGAGGAGGCCGAGTCTGCCCTGTGTCACCCTGCCCACGGCTCCCAGGGCCCGAGGCAGGGCCACTGGGCAGGGGGTTGGGAAGCAGGCTGCTGTGCAGGTGGGCAGCTGGGTCAGCAGTGTAGGATCTTCAGGAAGGCCTTGCGGAACTCAATGTTGAAGGTGGTGTAGATGATGGGGTTCACGGCGCTGTTGACATAGCCCAGCCACGTGAAGGCGCTGTACAGGACGGGCGGGATGTTGCAGTCACAGTGTATGTTCAGGATGTGGGTGATGAAGAAGGGCAGCCAGCAGATGATGAACACGCCTGGGGGAGAGGGGGGCAGTCAGGGGTGCCCGGGGCCGGGGAGGGCCTGGGTGGGGAGGCTGCACTGGGTGGGGCAGAGGGGGAGGACCCGGATCGCGTGCTTCAGGCCCCGCCCAGGCACCAAGGCTGCAAGAGCACCGCAGGGCCTTGGATGCTGGACCTGCCTCTGACCCCAGTCTGCAGTCATCTCACCTCCCTCAGCCTTGTTTTCCTGCCTGTGCAGCATATATAACGATACCCACCTCATAAGGGAGGATAAAGGGCTTGAAAACAAATCGCAACGCGTCGCATCCTGACACAGGTCAGCTGGTGGAAACGGATATATCTACTTTACTTCCTCGTCGTCTTTGAGACGACCTTCCGCAGAAGCTGGGAGTGGAGAGTTTGTTCACTGCCGTGGGGAATGCGCAGTCGGGGCCAGAGGGAGAGCTGGATGCCCAGCCGCCTAGTCCTCCTGGCATCCCCATGAGGAAGGCGGGAAACCGAGGCTCGGGACTGCTCTGTGATGTGCACAAGGCCACTCCACTCTTGGTGGCAAAGCCGAGATCTGAACTCCAGTCTATCAAGGTCCCCAAGTGGCCAGGCTCTTGCTACACTTTCCCCCAGCTTCCCCAGCCCTTGGTGGACACCCCTTGCCAATCCCCGCCTGCTGACACAAGGCTGTCACGAGTCCGACCTCCTGCCCACCTCTCTGCCTGCCTAACTCAGGACCTCCTGTTCGGTGGGATGCTCCGTGGGGAGGCACCGTCTGCACAGAATGCCACACGGGCACACGGGAATTCCCCGGAGATGGAGCAGTGCCTGGGAAGGGCTGGGCCGCAAAGCAGAGACCCCCCAGGACTGGAGCAGAGGCCCTGGCTGGAGCCCTCTCTGCCTCTCCCAGCCGCGTGATCACGGGTTGGTCCCCTAACCTGCTATGACCGCGAGCTCTCATTTGTAAAACCAGAATAGTGACACCTGTCCTTCTCGTGTCATAGGACTGTTGGGAGGCCAAAGGGATGGTGGGTGTGGGTGGGTGTCACAACTGCCCTGGGTGCTGCCCAGAAGGCAGAGACACATCAGTCCCTCCATCCTGTCCCCATCACCCATATCAGTCCAGCCCTTGATTCTTGACCCTTATTATCTGGTTTTCTAAGAGAATTTATTCTAAAGCCTTGTCTCACTCACTCTCATTTAGATCGGGGGCCCCCTCACAGCCCCATTTATTGTCCACAGCTCTGGTCCCACCGGGTCTTGGTTGAGGCAAGTGAATTTCCTGATTCCTCAACGATAGCAATGTTAACAATGCTTGTGTGTATGGCTTTGTAGTTCGTAAAATGCTTTCACCACCATGTATCATTTGATGACCACGACAACCCTGAAAAGTAACCTACTCTCTACTGATAGGGAGATGAGAGAGAGAAATGACCTACCCAGGGTCACGAGGTTCTGGGGGTCATTATGGTAAACTGGTCAAGTCCAGATTCTGAAGTGGGACTGCCTGAGTTTAAATCATGTGTCCTCTTTGATCAAGTTTCAAAAGCTCTCTGAACCTCAGTTTCCACATCTTTAAAATGAACATAATTTTAGAATCTACCTAGTCAGATGTGTCAGTGGGCTTGACCTGTGCCTGAAAAGTGCCAGTCCTGTGACCTACCAGCCATGATTAGGGAGCGATGGTAAGTAATGGGACCTACAGTGATGGGTCCATTTCTCAGCCAGGGCTGGGCAGAGGCGGGCTGTGTCCAGCAGCCAGGGCCGACTCACCGAGAACAATGGCGAGCATCTGGGTGGCTTTCTTCTCCTTCTGCTGGGAGAGCTTCCTGCGGCTTATGGACTTGAGTGAGGTCCGGGTTTTGCCATTGGGCATGGTCTGGATCTCAAAGAACTTGGCAATCTTGGGGTGGTCTTTGGCATGTCCGTTCTTCTCTGGTTTGGCAGGGCTGTCAGGTGTGCTGTGGAGGCCGTGGTGGGATGCGTTGGGGAGGGTCAGCTGGTGGTGGCTGGGCGCGATGGGGCTGTACCGGGTCCTCTCGGGCGGGCTGGTGCTGGAGAGCATCTCCATTTCCAGTTCCTGGGCTCGGCGGGCAGCCTCCTGCACAGAGGCAGAGAGCTCTGGGTAGAGCCAGGCAAGTTCTCAGCCATAGCCACCCAGCCTCACTCAGCCCCTCTGGCCTCACCTGGCCTCACCCAGCCCCACCCGGACCTTCATTATCCCCCTACGGAGACTCCTACAAGCACCACAGGGTTACTCTGCCAGCGAGGCAAGGGGGATGATCATTCTGGGAGGCAGGGACTGTCTGGGGGCAGGACCCAGGGCCCAAGGCAGTCCCCACCCGCCAGGTCAGCCCTGGCCCCCTTCGCAGAGCAATCACCAGGCAGCCTCAGCGACCCCACCGCCGTTCTATGGGGGCTTTGTACCTAGGCACTTTTTTATGAACTGAGCAACACTCACTGAGTGCCAGCTAAGTGCCAGGCGCCAGCTGGCTGCCGGGAATAAGTTACTGATTGGCGCCAAGTGCCTGCCTCCAGGACCTCATGTTCTAACTGCATGAGGGCAACCCTGTTCTTCCTGCCAGGCTGAAACAGGGGCTGTCAGGCTGACCTGAGGCCCCTGTACCAGCACTCACAGGTGAGCTCCATTTCTCCTGGTAGACTGATGCAGGGGCCGAAGGGTGGACCCCTGGGTCCCCACATCTTCCTCGCTGGGCTGATCTTGAGGTCCCTGGCCTCAGTTCCTTCCTCGTGCTCCCTTATTCCAGGACCTAGGGTCTCAGCCTAAGCTTCTGAAACGCAGCCTCGCTGCATGCCCAGGTGCCCCGATCCTGAGTGCCTGTCTCGGCCCCTGTATCTCAAACGGTTGCTTGGAGCCCTGCCCTTGCAGGTGAACAGTGAATGTTCAAGTGAAGAGCAGGGGCCCTGCTTCCTGAGAACACCTGACCTGGACTTGGTGTGCAGTTCTTTGTGGGTTCCCTGGCCCATCCTCTTCTCACCCCCAGGGGATGGGACATCTGCTGCTTGGACCCTGGTGCTCCTATCACTGAGCAGACCCTGGGGTCTGCTAGGATTCTGCATCTCTGGGCTCTACTTACAGGCTGCACTTTACTGTGAGCCCCATGCCCGCTCTGCTCCCTCCTCCCCCAGCACCCAGCCGCCAGCCCCAGAACCTGCCTGTCTGTAAGGCAGCGTATGCAAGTAGAAAGAACACGGGCATGGATTTCAGAGAGTCACTTAGGTCTGGACTCAACTACTCACTCTCACTCACTGTTTGGCCTGGGTGAGTTACCTAACCTCTCTGAGCCTCTCTTTCTCTCCTATTAAATGAAAATCCATAAGATCAAGAAGACTTAACCTCTCAGGGTCACCGTGAGGATTTGATGAGATACTAGGAAGATGGTAGGTGCTCAGTTAATGGTCATAGCCATTATTATTATTGTTATACGGCCAAGTCCTTTCTCCCAACCATTTCCTTGTGCTAGGGGTCCCTCTCTGTGCCTTGCAGAATTGAGCTGTCTTGCTCCTTGCCTGCTTATGAGTGTGTGTGGTAAGCCTGGCCTCAGCTGAAACAAAGTGGGGGATCCCGAGAGGTGCTTATCCCTTTGAGCAGCTGGTGAGGTCTTCGAGAATCATGGCAGGTGCATTTCCCTAGAGGCAGAGACCAGGCTCCAGGTCCCTGACCTGGACACTTACCACTCTCCGCCTGTTCACAGGGAAACTCCCATTAGACTTCATGATAACGGTGCAGAGTTTCATGTCCTCAGGGTGAGTGCAGTTGCCCTGTGGAGTGAGCCAGCACATGGGTCATGACGGGGAGGGGGCTGGGGACAGAATCCCAATGCAGGATAGTCAGACTGGGCACAGGAGCTCAGAGGAGGGCAGAGGTTAGGAGGGCGGGGGCCTGAGGAGGCAATCGAGGCAAGGGTGAGGTTCGGTACTGTGATGGGAAGAGGTGGGCAGGATGAGAGACAACAGGGCCCTGACTTTTATGTGGCACCTGCTAAGGATCTGGCACCCTACTAGGCATGCTCAATCCCTCTCACGCCGAATCCTCAAGACCACCCTGTGAGATCTATATTTTGATTCACGTTTAACAGATGAGGAAACAGGCTCAGAGAAGTTAAGCAACCTGCCCAAGGTCACTCAGCAAAAAAGTGGCGGTGCCAGGATTTGAACCTGATGTGTCTAAGCCCAAAGCTCTTGTTCCTTCTGTGCCCACATACCATCTTCCTCAGGGAGGGCTGAGCAGAGGGAAGTCACAAGACACAAGTATGGAAAAGAAAGGGAGGCAGAGGAGGGAAGTAGGCAGGAGCAGGTGAGGTAGAGGGAGGTTTGAACAGAAGAGGACAGAGCATGGGAGATAAAGGAGATGGGATGGAGGCCTCAGAGGGACTGGAAAGGGAGACAGAAGGGCCAGAGTGAGGAAAGGAGAAAGGGAGGGCAGCAAAGCCGTGGAGTTCCAGGAGCTGCTGGGTTCAGACAGTGGTCTCCATGCAGAGTCCTCTCCCCCCAGGTGGTCTCCGCCCCCTCCCCACCTCCGACCCCTGGAGACTCAAGTCGCCCACTGAGGTCCCAGCCTTCGAAATCTGCCCGCGCCCTGCTCCTTGGAGCTCCTCCAGCCTGGACCCCATGCACCCCTGGGTCACGGTTAGGCAGGGACATCGGGGGAGGGGATCTCGGGACCTTGAGCGGGGCCTTCAGGTTGGCCCTGAAAGCCCGGCTGCTGCGCTTAGTGTTGACCCGCTTGCGTCGCCTGCGGAGGACGATGTAGATCTTGATGTAGACCAGCAGGGTAACGAGGAAGGGCACGTAGAAGGAGACGATGGAGGAGTAGACCACGAAGGCGGGGTTGGCGATGATGCATTCGTTCTGGTCTGGGGGAAGGAGAGCCCCAGGTGGGTGTGTCAGCAGGCCCCCCAGGCCACAGTGCCTTCCCAGTTACCAAGAATATGACTAGACGCCTAAGGCGGCCTGGAAACGTTAGATGTAAGCAAGTGTGCGGCATAAATCAGAGTATTAAAAACAACCATGAGCAAAAAGCCGAGCTGTGATGACTGTTTCCAAGTGTTTCCATTAATATCCCCTCGTTACTTCATCATTAGTTTTGCCATCCATGAGCACACGAGTGGCGCCACGGTTCTGGGGACAAAATGACGGAAGAGAATGATAGAAGCAGAGTAACCTATTATTTTAGCCTTTCCTGTGTATTGGCGGGAGGTCTGACACCTTTTCATTTTAGGGACAAGATGACTTGGTCCTCTTTGCTGAACTCACCTGTGTTCCAATGTCTTTCCAAGTTCCCTTCCAGATCTAGCAGATGTCTATCCTCTCTCCCAGGGCCTTTCCAGATTAATCCAAGCACGCTTAGCCCTATTCCTGCTTCTTGGAATTCCCATGACACTTAGATCTCGAACCGCATGCTTTCAAGGCTTCCTTGTGTCCTGTCCGGTGATGGTCTCTGGAGGCACACCGGTGTCATCTATCTCCCTGACGGTCGCTGTGCCTCTTCTGTCAGAGGTGCTCCTGACTGCCTTGCACAGGACACAGTCACAGTGAGCTAGCCTCCTACTTGTTTCTACCCTTCCTGCTCCAGGTGGCTCAGGCCTGGCCTGGGATTGGCCGGCCTGGAGGCTGCAGCTTCATTATACAAACACTGTTATCAGGGGTGATGGAGGCCCAGCAGCCTCCTAACCTGTGCGCACACACACAGACAGGCACACACATGCATTTTGCAAGGCTGTCTGGTCTGCTTCGATTCAAACAAAGTTGAAAATGGCCAGGCATCCTCCTGAAGCATTATCCCCACTCCTCACGCAGCTCCCTTGTGCCCCAGGCCATTGTTCCTCTCTGACCTTACCAGGTACAACTCGGAGTCGGGCTTGGCCCAGGAGTCTCAGCCTGGCCTCAGTCTGAGGTGGCGAACAGGCTCCTGATGGGTCACCACCCATGTCCGCACCAGGGTTCAGCTCCCTCAAGGTCCTGCACAGGGCCAGGGCTGGGGCCAGCTGAGTCCCAGGCAACCAGAGGCAGGACTCACCTGTGTTGTTGAGTCCGAAGAGCAGCGGGCAGGAGATGGTGAAGGACAGGACCCAGACGATGGTGATCATGACGGTGACTCGGCGCCTGGAGCTGTAGCGCGTGTTGTAGAGCATGGGCATGGCCACGGCTGTGTACCTGTGAGGGCACACGGGGCGGGAGCCTGGAGTCTGGGGTGCAGGCCTAGGGACCACTCACTCCACGACATTGGCACAACAGAGACACCCCACTTTGGGAGGATGGAAAGTTGGTCCACCTCCTGTTTACTCTAAATCAACCCTCTCCTGCCCCCAACTCAGACAGCAAGGACAGTTGGTGACTGCCAATCGAGTGTTTGATGACTGACCCGCTACCATTCAATCCTGGACCGTATCTTCCACTCCAGTCTCCCTGCTTGGATTTTAGGCTTTTCGAGGGGCCATGGCCTGGGTCTTTGCACCTTTGAAACCGTACCCCCTGCACCTGTGCTGGGCCCATGGCGGGTAGAAGTGTTTGTTGATGGATTGGTAGCCAGGACCCTCAGAGCAAGGGTTAGGTCTCATTCAGCAAAAAATAATAACAATGGTAATTGTTTGTGATGCCACACATCGCCCTACCCAGCACTTCTGAGACATTAGTTCCATTCATCTTCCAAGAATCCAGCAAAGGGTGTAGAGCCAGGGCCTCTGGGAGCCCATGTGGCCCATGTGCGCAAATTAGTAAAAGACTCTGGGGAATAGAGCTTAGCCACGTGGGCAGAACCTGGGCCCCCTTGGCCTTGTGCCCTGTGCTGGACGCAAAATGCACAACCAGATACGAGACCCGCACGTGGGCAGGTGCCATCATGTTTGGTTTGTAGACAATGAAACTAGGGTTCTGAAAACATCTGCAATCTGCCCAAGGTCACGTAAGTAAGAAGCGATAGGGCTAGGGCTTCAGTCAGGTCAGGAGCTTTCTCCTCTATGCCTGTCCCTGTCTGGGTAGCATCACGTCCATAGACAGTCTCCCTTTAGGGGGTCTGTCCTCTCCCACACACGTGCACACACTCACGCGTGCACGCATACATGCACACACAGACACGTGGACTCACAGGCACACAGCCAGCCGCATAGCATCATGGATAGAGCCTGACCCTGCAGAAGAGGTGGGGCAGCCCAAGAGGTGGACGGTCTAGGTCACCTCTCCCATCCTGGCTGGGCTCACCTGTCGATGCTGATGGCACACAGGTTCAGGATGCTTGCTGTGCACATCATGACATCCAGAGTGACAAAGATATCACAGTGAACCCTGCTGAATTTCCACTCGCCCACCACCTAGGACAAAGCAACATAATGGGTGGACAGAAGAGATTGGCTCAGGCACTGTAGCTCGGTGTCCCGGGGCGGATCGGGCCATGGGCTCAGTGGGGGGGTCTCGTGGGGCTCTGGCCGAGGAAGGAGAGGGGCAGCCGTGGGGAGCTGTACCCACAGGTGTCTGAGGCCCTTGCCCCGGCCCTTTCTCCTCCTAGACACATAAGGCCACTTTGTGCCAAGAAGTTTGCTAGAAGAAAGATGACCAACTTACTCAAGTGCCTCAGCTTTGAACCCTCACCTGTAAAACGTTTGTGTGAACACCCTGTGATCCTCATGTTACCAGGGAGGAAACTGAGCCTCAGAAAAGTGCAGTGACTCGCCTAAGGCCTTTCAGCTCAGCTTCTGCCCTGCCCTGGCCCAGGTTTCTAGGGGAGCCGGGCTGCTCCTTGGTGTATGGCACAGAGTTGGGACCCAGTAAGTGTCTGTTAAGAACAGTGGTGAAGATAGTGACTATGAAGCAGTGAAGACGTTTCTGCTCCTTGTTACACTTAGAGAGTAAAAGGCGGCAAGCCTGGACTAGAGCTTTCAGAAGAGCAGGACGGGCTGGGGAAGGTGTGTAATGACACATCCCTGCTTCAGTGTAAAATGAGGAGCCCAGCTCTCGGCAAGAGCGTTTTGCACCCCTCTTCCCCCCCGACAGACACACACATTCCTACCCCCCATGCACACCCACACCCCGACACCTCCCATTTACACACACAGGCACACACACTCACACAGCAGGCTGGCCCTGGAGGCCGTGGAAGGTTGGAGCAGGCCCCATCCCTGAAGACAGAGTCAGGACAGGGAGATACGACTTGCACTACTGCCTATCAGAGAAAAGGGGAGCAGGAAAGCCCCTCCCAGTGACGGGAGCAGAGCAGGACCCACTCTGTGGGGTACAGCAGAGCAGCAGGGCTAATTATAATGCTTACTCTCAGCACTGGCCTCTTAGCTGCTCTCAGGCATAAAACCAATTGCTGGCATTTAAGCACAGTGATGGGAACTGCTTGGAGGAAACTGCAGCTTTTCCCAGAAGACAGGAGACCTCTCGTGTCGCCACGCTGGCCAGGTGAGCTGGAGCTGGATATCTAGGGGCCAGGGAGGCGGGCACAGGTGAACGGGGATAGAAGGGGCTTCCCTGGCATCAACAGAGTCTACCTTTAAGACACTACTGAGAGGGTCCCAGGCCCACATGGTCTGTGCTCCACCTTGGCGCCCTCCTAGGGCTAGTATTTCCAAACTGCTGTCATCCCCCTGGGGATCTAGGTCTGAGATACCAGGGCCATCTTCTCCATCCTCCCTGCTTCCTTCCGTCCTCCCTGCCTTCTTTTCTACAGACACTTATTGGACAACTTACTATGCGTCTGGCTCTGTCCTAGACTCTGGGGCACAGTGGTGAACAATCCTGACACAGCCTCAGGGAGCTCTCAATCCCTGCCCACCAAAAGCCTTCCTGGAGGACAGAAGAAGGCGGGGCTTCCTCCGAGGTTCCAGGAGCAGCTGCTCTAGAACGCAGTTAGAGGCTTCTGGATCAAAGGCTCAAGAAAGTGTGTTGATAGCCACTGTTTACAGAGCATCTCCTGTGGGCACATACTTTATCTCATTTATTGTGCTTAAAGCTTGGACAAGAGGGGATTGCTTATGCCCATTCTTGGATGAGGGAATGAAACTCAGGAGCACACCCAGCTAGTATGCAGCAGGGCTGGAATTTGAAGCAAGCTCTTTGGGCAGCACATCCTATGCTCTCTCCTGAGCTGCCTTGGAAGGGACAATCTAGCTTGTCAAAAGAGGAGATGATTATGTAAAAAGTACTAGATAAACACAAAGTGGGAAAGGAGAGATTGTAACTGCAAGGGTAGACTAACTTGGGGTCAGGGAGAAAAAGGACTTGTCCAAGATCACCTGATCATTTAGTAACAAAGGGAGTACCATCCCCCAGGTATACTAGCCCCACTTCAGGGCTGTTTCCTCCGCACCTTTGGACAACATTCCTCAATATTCTTGCACAGAATGAGACCGGTGGGATGGGCCTCAAGCTGCTTTGGCTAAATCCTAACAATAACTTGTACACATGTGTCAGGCACGGTTCCAAACACTTTACACTCATTTCTATGGAATGTGACAGCAAACGTCGGAGGCCACCGCTCCTCGAAACCTCCAGCCAGCTACGCCCCTGCCCTACACCCCACTCTGGGGCTTTGCACACTTTTTTCTCTGCCTGGAGTGCAAGTGCTCCTCTCCTGGCTAATTCTTCTGAAAGCATCACTTCTGCCTGCGAGCCTTCCCCAACGCCTCCAGGCCTGGTCCTGTGCTCCCCACCCCGCTGTATTCCCCCATCTCCTGTGGAGGCTGCTCCCTTGTCATCTCCATCGGGCTACACTATAATGGCCTTGCCAAGGCCTTAGAGCCCAGCCCTAGGAATGGGGCAGGACACAGACGTGCTCATACCTGTTGACTGAGTGAGTCAAGAATGGGGATCTGAGTCTGCCCGCTTTCTCAATCGCATCTGCTCTTCTGGAAAATTCATGAGGCAAAGCCTCCCCTCAAAGGCTTGTGAGGCCAAAATGGCCTATGCAGACAAGCAGGCCCTGGCTCTCTTCTCTGTTTCTCCAGGTGGAAAGTGGCAGGGTCAGGAATCGAGCCTGGTTCTCTCACTCCAAAACCAGCGTGCTTCCCATACACTGAGCAGAATAAATGATGCACATCCAGCCCCACCTAGCCGGATGCCAACATGGCAGGCTATCAGAGGCATTTAACATCCCTGGAAATGGAACAGGATGGAAAATTCTGGACAACGAGATTGTCTCTGGAGAGGGTACAGTATATGGTTGAGAGGATACTTTAACAGGATGTTGGGATAGGGTGAGACTCCACTTGAGACATTCTCTAGGGACAATAAGTACCCGAGACAATGTCGCAGGGCCCACTGTCCAGCTCTTGTTTGATGGGAGAGTTTGAGCACTGCCCTCTGAGATGCCATTCTTCACCCTCCCCTGAAACATGAGCTTCACCTTTAAAATAATGTGAACAGGTATGTTTAAAATATGTGTGTCGAGAACCTATAGATTCCTAGGAGCCCTAAAGCACAGATGTGGCTCTCCCTTAGAGGCTCTGGGTAGGGGTGGTGGGTCTGGAAGCCCCAGATCCCACACCCAGAGTCCTGGGCAGAGCAAGCCTCCCTCTGGAAGAGGGCACCTCTTTGCCTGGGCATGGGGAGGGTCCTTCAATGTGCAGAGGTGTGGCTACCTATCAGCATCTTCATCTTCATCACCGTTGTCATGACTACTTTTACATGGTGCTTACTATATGCCTGCTGCCATTCTAAGCACTTCTCATATATTAGCTATGTGATTCTCAAACAATGCTATGACATAAGCACTGTGATTATCTTCATTTCTAGATGAGGAAACCAGGTGCAGAGAGGTTATTTGCTTGGCCAGATACCCATCATTTTTTACCTGATGGTCTGTGGCCTGGGAACCTCCTTTTCAAGGGAGCAGGCGGGGAACAAGTGTAAGAATCAAGAAGGGGATCCTCAGGGAGAGGCCCTCAGACAGGATGTGGGATGGAGAGTCTAGGGGTCTCCACAAACGTGCAGTCATGGAAAAATTGGACAGCTTGCCGGTGGCGCCTGTATGCTTTTAGGTTGTATTGTATCTATTGTTTGTTTCTTATTGGTTGTCTCTTAACATTCCGGTCATTTTGAAAGTTCCAGCCTGTCTGAGCCGTGCTAAAGGAAAGCAAGGGAGTGATGGCCCAGAGCTCCATGTGGGCCCGTGTGGTAGTGACAACAGGAGCCCCTGGGGACGTGGAGACCATAAGAGCAGCCTTTCCTCCCCACCTCCGCTTCTTCTCCTAGATGTCCCCTCTGCTCAAGCCTACAAAGGTTTCATGTTTTCTTTGAAAGGTGGAAGCCTTCCCTCCCAGGCAGGGGCTTGTCTCTACGGCACAGGTAAATTCCCCTCTTGTCCGGGGCACGGAGGTAACAGCTCAGAGATCTTAGTGACCTTGGCGTTGGCTTTTTCCTGAATGCCTGGTCAGCTTCCCTTGAATCCAGACTCCACCCCCAGAACCCAGGGAAGAGAAAGTGGCAGGATCCAGCCTGTGCCCACCCAGATCCCCCAGGCCCTCCCTCATCTGCCTGCCAGCTCTGGAAAGTGTCCTCCTGGAGGTGGGTCCCCACTTCAGGACTTCTCAGTGATTTCCCCCTTTGCTGTGTGATCCAGGTAAAGACAGGCAACTTCTCAAAGCTTCTGTTTCCTCTTCCTTAAAGTGAGAAGAATGATATCGAGTCAGAATCAGTATGAGTATTTGCTGAGTATGTGTCTGTGGAATGCCCGGCAGCGCCTGGCCCACAGCAGGGGCTGCCTACTCACTATTCCGGGCTCAGGGCTGGGCTCTGTTCCCGGCCGAGCAATGCATCACCATGTGGTCCTTCCCAAGGAAAGGGGGTACAGCACAGTTCACAGCGGCCTTGAGCTGGAGGTCCCAGACACGGCCTAGGACACATGGAGGAGCGGGGAGGGCAGAGAGGAGAGCCTGGAGCCACAGCCCGCATTCTGAAGCGGGGAGAGAGGGGTGAAGATTTCAGGCCCGGGAGCACGAGCCTCCGCCATCCTCAGGGATCCTTGTTGATGACTCCCGTTCTCAACACGACCTAATGAACCAACTCTGGGGCCCGAATCCCAGCCGCTGTGAGAGGCTGGAGAAGTCACCTAACTTCTCTGACCATCTGGCTCACCATCCAGAAGATGCTGTGAGGGCTCGGTGGGGAGATGCTGTATGTGAAGGACTAACGCAAGGCCTGGCACTTACTAAGCGCCTTACAACGGGTAGTCGGGATTGTTAAGGAGACGATCTACCCATTTTGTAAGACTGAGCCCAGAGCGGAGGAAGGGCCCACCCGAGAAGGCGCACTCTTGGAGGGAGCCAGTGAGGAGCCTGGACCCTCCCGGGGAAGGCGCCCGAGCACAGCAGGGGCCCAGACCTACCTCCAGGTAGACCACCCAGGGCATGACGAGCGTGGCCACCAGGAGGTCGGCCACAGCCAGGCTGACGATCAGGTAGTTGGTAGTGGTCTGCAGCGCCTTCTCGCGGGACACGGCCATGCACACCAGCACGTTGCCGAAGACGATGACGAAAATGAGCAGGGTTAGCAGCATGGCGTAGTAGTTGTAGTGGGGCCTGTCGGCTTTCCCTTCGGACCCGTTGAAGGGCCGGCTCCAGTTCCGGCTCTCCAGATCGTCATCGTACCAGGACAGGTTCAGCGGATCCATGGGAGCAGCGGGGCCACTGGGTAGCCAGGCTCTGGCCAGGAGAAACGGGCACAGGGTGTAAGCAGGAGGGCCTCCCAAAGCATGCTGCCACCCACAGAGGGCTCTGGGGCTAAAACCTACCACGGGAGGTTACAAGAGAATTCTCCAGCCTCAGGATTTAAGGTTTGCACCCCAAATCTTTTTAAAACATTGGGGCCTGCTGCCACTCTTCTGCTAGCAAGTTCTTGCAGGTGGTTAAACAAATGAGAAAGTACAATTTTTTAACTATAATAAAATAAGTGATCTTGAAAAGAGATGATCATTCATTCACCCATTTATTCAACAAAAAATTAAGTGCATCCCATGCCCCACACAAGTTAGTGAGGAGTTCAGCTTCTAGTGGGAAGACTAGAAATATGCATTCATTCATTCTTAATTCTATAAATGTTTATTGAACATTGTTCTATACAACACTAGAAACATAGTCAGGAACAAAATATACATAGTTCTCCAGCTCACATTCTAAAAGGAACAATAGGGCCTTCCCTGGTGCCGCAGTGGTTGAGAGTCCGCCTGCCGATGCAGGGGAAATGGGTTCGTGCCCCAGTCCGGGAAGATCCCACATGCGCGGAGCGGCTGGGCCCATGAGCCATGGCCGCTGAGCCTGCGTGTCCGGAGCCTGTGCTCCGCAACGGGAGAGGTCACAACAGTGAGTGGCCCGCGTACCACAAAAAAATAATAAAAAATAAAAAATAAAAATAAATAAAAGGAACAATAGCCGATTAACCAAGCAATTAAATCTATGGGTGGTAGGCACTAGGAAACAGAATGGGGAGAGAGACATAACCTAGTTTAGGGATTACAGAGAAGGCTTTCCTGAGGAAGTGATGTCCAACTGACACCTACAGGATGCAGTCAGGTAAAGGGCGCCAGGGGAAGGGTCCACATATAGGAAGCAAGTAAGCAAATTTCAGAGCTGGCGAGTAGGTGCCATGTTGGAGGGCTGGCGGGAGATTCGGGACAGCTGGAGCACAGAGGGCTTGGGATGGGCTGAACTGCAGGCTGCAACAGGCTCCACCACAGAGGGCCTTGTAATTCACTCTAGGAGTTTAGATTTGACCCTAAGGGCAGCAGGAGCCACATGATCAGATTTGCCTTTCAGAGAGAAGAGTCTGACTGTTGCGTAGAGAAAGGAAGTGTGACACTCAGTGGGGTGGCAGGACCAGCTGCAGGAACCCAAGAAAGAGCTGATGAGGTTCTGCATTTGTGCACTGAGAGCCCTGAGGAATGGGCGTCTCAGGGGGGAAACACTTCCTGAAGGAGGCGTCATCAGAGATGACATAGGAGTTAACCGGGCAACTGAGGGCAGGGGAGATGCTCCAGCCAGAGAGCACACAACGTGGTCCCAAACAGCAAATAATTCTGTTTGGCTAAAAATGTAGGGCATGATGATGAAGCTGGGGAAAATTAAACTGGAGGGCTGTTCTTGGGCCAGAATGGGTCTTGTAAGCTTGGAGCCCCTGAAAGCCTGGGTGCAGAGGAATGACTCCATTGGATTGCTGCTTTGCCCAGGTCGCTGGCTGTGCAGTGCAGAGGGGATGTTAGTGGTAAGTGAGGTTGTGACTGTAATTCAGGTGAGATGGCGATTGTCTGAATGAAGGCATGGGGATGAGCATGGAGAGGCATGTTCAGAGTCACTAGCTAACTTGGAAGTCAATTTCATGGAATTTGGTCATTGGATAGGCGTGGGGTGGGAGAGGGGAGGGGGCAGGCAGGGAGAGAAAGGAGACGAGGACAACTCCAGATTTCTGCACTGCACTCTTGGAGGCTCGGTGATGCCTGCTCACTGAGAAAAGAAAGCAGAGGGGCTCAGAGGCAGTGAGCATTGAGGAGCCTGACAGCCTGTGTTTCAGTTGTGATTGAAACATAACGCACATATAATATAGTTGGCTTTCCTGCTAACAAAAGTGTTTCTCCTTCACACAATGGAACTAAATGATCAGTATTTCAAGGCATTCCACACAAAGCCCCACGACTTCCAGGTGCTTTGCTACCCAAATGGATTTGAAATCCAGCAACTTATGCCATTCGATCTGAACATGGTACCATGTCCAAATCAGGGAGGAGGGCCCACCAGCCTCAATGGGTCAGAGGGGACGCTGGAGAAGGGTCTGCCCACCTCTACACTCTCATCCCTCTGACACTTCTGCTCCGCCAGCTCTCAGCAGAGGAGTACAGATGATGTCCAACCCAGCACCACCACTCCGGAGCCCCTTAGAGAAAACAAAATGCCTAATTCCATGTGGGGTGACATGGAATGCCACCATGCAACAAGTCTTCCAGTTCCACGGTAGTGAAACACTATGTCATACTGATGCTGCACTGGGCAAAGCCCGCTGGTACCTTTTCCCATTTGGAGCACACAGAGGGAGACCTGCACGTATGTATTGATCAGGCAGCAGGGGCTGATCCCGCCATTCATTTGCTCAGTCAGCATCTATTGAGCTTTGCTGGGCATAAAGCATTGCGCCATGCACAGTCAGGGGCCTCGGAGACACACTCCGCTCCCCCAGGATCCTGCCTGTTCCTCTCTGCCCCTCCTCCCACCTCTTTAGTCCCTCTCTGGGTAGGGCCGGGAGCATCTGACGGGGACTCTCAGCACCCTGTCTCCCCCACCCCACCCATCCTCCGTGCCCAACCAGACTACTGCTTCTGTAGCAGGATCCTGACCCTGCCCTGTGATGACAGCTTCATCTGCTTGCAAAGGAGATGACAGTTTGCCAAGTGTTTTTCTTTTTTCTTTTTGGTATAGTATCTCATTTAGCCTCAAAATAACCTCGAAGGCTTGTAATTCTTATCTCCACTCTACAAATCAGAAAAGTGTCTGGAAAATGTATTTTCCCTTGCCCCTACTGGCCAATCCCTACCCATCTTTCAAAGCAAGCCTTGCTCAGATTCCTCCTGCCCTGGAATCAATCCCAAGTCCTCCTGGCTGGACCATCTCCCATCTTCCTCGGGGCTCCCAAGGCATTGTCTCATGGTTGCATTCTGGAACATTCCCCATTTGTGTGTCTGTTTTGTTCACTGGGGTGTAAACATTTCAAGGATTACACCGTGTCTTGCTCATGCCTCATCATATTCGTGGAATAAACAAAAAAGCATACTCTCTTATTTTTCTCTTCCGACTCCTAATGCTGTGATTTGCAGGCAGTAAGTGTTTAACAGCTCTTTGCAGAATTGAATCAAAGGCTCTGTGAGTCCAACTGGAAAGAAAACCCCTCCACACTTGAAATGTAACTGTTAACATGACCCATCAGATCAACAAGTGACCAAAGAAAGATGCAGCCCAAGAATATCATGGGTGTTACACGTTGGTCCCCAGAAAGCAGACTGAGGAGGAGGGAAGCACACAGGAAATCTGTTGGGGATACAGGGATACCCAGACACCAGAGAGCATGTGCGCATGGGCACAGCCAGAGTGTTCATGGAAGGCTTCCTGGAGAGGGGAGAGCTTCAGCTGAGACTTACACTATGGGTACAGTTTCAATGGCAAATGTGAGCGTTGCTGGTTCGGGGCGGGGGAGGGGGTGGTGGCTGGTGGTTAGCACTTATGCCTCTGTGCCGCTGGTTACTCTGCAAAGCAAGTCTCATCAAGGCTAGAAAGGCCTCATGCATTTAATTGTCAAACTGAGCATTCATTCTCAATTGTTCTTGTTGCTTTTTTGCTGATACAAATGTAATATAATTACATTGTAGAAAAAATGAGAAAATATGGAATATGCCTAAATACCTGTAGACTCTATTAACCAGAGCCCAGGGTGAGCTCCAGCTTCTCCTGTGCCCTTCCGAGTTGGGGCTGACACCTCTCACCCACGGGGGCTGCCTGGCTAGCTCTCAGGCTCATCTGGGATTCGGGCGTCAGCAAACCCACCTCCACAGGTGGGGTACTCCGGCATAAGAGACACTAGTATAACATAGGAGCTGAAGACCAAAGCACCTGGGTTAAATCCCAACTCTAGCCTTACTAGCTCGGGGGTGTTGGCCAGATTATTTGGCCTTCCTGAGCCTCAGTTTTCCCATCTGCAAAATAGGGAGAGCAATTACTGTTGTGAGGATTAAGTAAGATGATGCATATGTGGCCGGCACAGGTGAACCCACATGGAAAAACCAAACCAGGCTAAATAATTCAATGAAACAAGCAATTAGACAACAAGCCTGAGGCTCCTAGAGATGAAGTGGCAGGCGCTGTCCAAATGCAGCCCATCAGGGTCACAGGTCCTGCTGGGCTCCTCCTGTGACATCCTGTTGCCTCCTACTGCTTATCCTTGAGAAGTCTGTAGACTTTTACAGGTCTAGACAAAGGGAGAGGGATTCCCAGATGCAGCAATCGAGCCCTTGGGAAGGAGTGAAGGAAAGAAAAGACGAAGTGTATTCCTGGACAGTGGTTGCAGGATGAATCTGAGAGACCCTCGGGATGGGGTCGCAGCTGGCCTGGAAGAGTCAGCTTTCCCAGGCCACCTGCTCTAACCAGAGACTGTAATACCAACTGCCATATTTCTTAGGCTTTAAGACAGAATTAAATGTAAGATGCACCATTGTCTTAGGTACCCCTAGGAAAGAAAAAATGCCATCTAACTCTGACACTGCTTTAAGATGGGGTTGATTGTGAAAATGCGTTCTGATTTCAGAGACATCAGAATGTTAGAGAGGATATGCATCTTAGAATGGATAAAAGGTAGTGGCCTCCTGGCATTTCTCTTCTGGCATTTTCTCAGGAGGCCTGAGAAAACCTGCTGGTCCCCAGGCTCCCCCTGTCCCAGCCCCAGCCCCTCCTCTTTTCCTTCTGCCCAGGGCTCCAAGGGGCTTCAGTCAGAAGAAAGCACAAAGGAGAGGTCAGGCTATGGTCTTCCTCACTCCAAGGGCACCCGAGGGACCCCTCAGATCCCTGCCCCTGCCCTGCACCTCGGACTTCTCCATCTGTGTCAGAGCCTGTGCCTGTCGGGGAAGGGGAGGGCTCCAGGTAAATCTGGCCTGGTCCCGGGTCTGGA